TATACCTGTTGTTACACACATTAACACAGTCAGTATACCTGTTGTAACACATATTAACACAGTCAGTATACCTGTTGTTACACACACTTACTCACTCAGTCTACCTGTTGTTACACACACTTACACAGTCAGTATACCTGTTGGTACACACACTTACACAGTGAGTTAATTTGTTGTTACACTTACTAACAAAGTCATTATGCTTGTTGTTACACACTAACATTGTCAGTCTACCTGTTGTTACACACATTAACACAGTCAGTATACCTGTTGTAACACATATTAACACAGTCCGTATACCTGTTGTTACACACACTTACACAGTCAGTATACCTGTTGGTACACACACTTACACAGTCAGTTAATTTGTTGTTACACTTACTAACAAAGTCAGTATGCTTGTTGTTACACACTAACATTGTCAGTATACCTGTTGTTACACACATTAACACAGTCAGTTTACCTGTTGTTACACACATTAACACAGTCAGTATACCTGTTGTTACACACATTAACACAGTCAGTATACCTTTTGTTACACAAACTTACAGTGTTAGTATACCTGTTAATACGTATTTATATATTTTCATCTGTTTATAGATACTTTATCTTGCAATTATTCATGTGTTTGCATTAGTTTTGTGAGAGTATTAAATATTGTTGGACTATTATAACGATAACTTAACATAGCCGACCACGACCAAAAGTTGTCACTATGATTGCTGAAAGAGCGTAAATTAACGACGCAGTATATTTTCATAAAAACCGACACAACCTATCGTTCCTTCTATTTGAGTTTTAATAAAGAACTAATAGGTTATCTGTCTGTGTGGCCTTTGTTGAAATTGAAACAAAAGAAAGATTACTGCCAATTAAGAAACGTTTCCGAGTCCGTATTTCTCCGAGACATATCTGAAAGTAATCAGAGACGTTGGTGTGCACAAAGGAGCAACACTTTTTTAAAGCCACGTCATTTGTTTTAAATTGAAAAAAACACTACATGCAATTAAGAAGCATTTTTATTTCAAAATTACACAACCCTATTCGTGTGAAATCGACGAAGTATGGCTTCACTAATTAGATTAGTGCTATTCCGCCGCGCGTATAATCTCCACGTGGTGATTTCTTTTTCCTCCGAACTGTCACTTCGGCAACACAAAAACCAACACCAGGTGATAAAGGGTTCAGTTTTGCAAATCTACAAACTCGAGCATTCAGTGTCAGACTACCATGCTTACATATAAGATAGACTAAGTTATGACTTTTACACAGAGTCCGGGCAGGATTAGCACCCCCGACAATGAACCGAACCACAGAACTACCAGTGGGGGGAAGCCATTATTAAAATATTTCTAATAGAATCCACGATCGATTCTTTTATTTCACAATGATTCTCGTCTCCCCAAATCTGCAATGTGCGCATGCCGAAATCAGCAATATTACATGTCAAAGGACGGCACGGGCACTGTAAACCACACACAGAGACAGAAATCCAGGCACATGTGTAAGCTGGTGTGACACGCGTGCACACGTACGTGAGGAGGGTGTGTGACGCCGGAGGAGCCCTGTGCGCGTGCCTCCGCCGAGCTCTATCTCACCCGACTGTTTCCGATGGCCAAGGCACGGCTGGGCTATCGATTTTTGGGGGAAAGACGCGTTATGGAGATAAAACGGCGAAAGCATTCTTCTTGTGATTTGCTTTAGGGAACGAGTCCATTCAAGCGGTTCATAGCAATGGTCTCCACATAGTCAAAATGACCACTCTGTCCTCACAATGGAGTACTTGGCAGTGACAAGAAAACCCAGCCTCGTCCCCTCTGTCGCCGTATAACGCGCACCAAGGAGTGATGGCTATATTTACACTGTGTTTGTTTATGAAAATATCTTCAGCAGCATTCAAACGCGGCTATGAAACAGATTTGTGTTGATTGGGAAAGGCTCGAAGTACCTACAAGTAGTGCTACATGAAAGGAAGGGTTCTTGAGTTTGAGTCTGACCGGTGGACCATCACCTCAGTGTGTTAAGTATCTGGCGGGCCCCGGCGAATGGAAGGGAGGTCTATCTCGTGTCGTCCGCGGTGTGTGCATGGTCTCCTAGCTTCGCTCATGTTCAAAGGAAGGGAGAAGGACCGGTGTCAAGGAGTTGTAGTTTCTCGCTTTTGTTACATGCACGTAGTCATACTGGATTCCCGTAAGTGTTTACCATGGATTGCTGCAGCAAGAAACGGTTGTTGATGATAATGACCAGTGCTTGTGCGTGTGCCGCCTTCGGCTTGCTGTCCATTGCCGTAGCCACGGATTACTGGCTCTTTACAATGGATCGACTGAAGGAAACTAGCAATGGGTCCGTGTATGATCGTTTTTGGTCGGGCCTGTGGCGGAAGTGCAGGATTACTGGTAAGTCCTTTACTCTCATTTTACACCCTTCCAATTCCTGTTCTACAAAGACAGCTATGGCGCGCACATCTCCGCCAAGCATCCTGACGGCAGCCAGAGCTCGCCGCTCTCCTTCCCTACTTAACATCGACAACTGTCTAAAATCTTAAATCTGCTCTGTCTACCAATGCTATCTGTGTACGATCTCGTGGCTATTGCTCTTGGCAGAGATTGTATGTAGTCATCAAGTAATCACGAAATTAATATTGGCCTTTCATACAGGCCAGCCAGTTCAGTCCCTAGCGGGAAACCGGGCGTCAACGAGCAGCATTACGGTACCACGTGGGCCAGTCTCTGCTCGTATTTTATATGGCAACCGAGAACCCCCGAAGGGGCTCGAACAAGGGTTCCAGCTCAAACCCAATTACGTACAGGCATATCGATTTAAAATGATACAAGCGGTATATTGTGCGTAAAGCAAATGCTTCTGGTAACTCATTATTTTATTTCTATGTCGTTATTTAATGTATTCACTTTACCCTTAATGGACAACGTGCGTTAGATGCTGAGTCAAAAATATCTCCTCCCTTGGTCTATGTCCTTCTCTGACTCTTTTGTCTCGGTGTCCCTCCCTGAAAACATGATATGTGTCCCTCCATGAAAACATGATATGTGTCCCTCCCTGAAAACGTGGTCTGTAACCCTCCCTGGCAGCTTGGTCTGTGTCCCTCCCTGGCTGCGTGATTTGTGTCCCTCAACTGACTGTGTGATTTGTGACCATCCTTTGCTGTGTCCCTGACTGCCTGGCCTGTGTCCTCCATGATTTCCGATCTGTATTCCTCCTTAACTGCGTGGATTAAGACCCTCCTTGACTGTGTGGGTAATAAGCCTCCCTGAATGTGTGGACTGTTACCCTCCCTGACTGTGTGGACTGTTTCACTCCCTGACTGTGTGGACTGTGACCCTCCCTGACTGTGTGACCTATACATATCCCTGACTGTGGACTATAATCATCCCTGACTGTGTGGACTGTTACCCTCCCTGACTGTGTGGACTGTTACCCTCCCTGACTGTGTGGAATGTTACCCTCCCTGACTGTGGACTATAATCATCTCTGACTGTGTGGAATGTTACCCTCCGTGACTGTGTGGACTGTGACCCTCCCTGACTGTGTGGACTGTGACCCTGCCTGACTGTGTGGACTGTGACTCTCTCTGATAGTGTGGACTGTGACCCTCCCTGAATATGTGGACTGGGTCCCTCCTTGACTGTGTGCACTGCGACCCTCCCTGACTGTGTGGACTGTTACCCTACCTGACTGTGTGGACTATTACCCTCCCTGACTGTGTGGACTGTTACCCCCCTGACTGTGTGCACTGTGACTCTCTCTGATAGTGTGGACTGTGACCCTCCCTGACTTTGTGGACTGAGACCATCTCTGACTGTTTGGACTTTGACTCTGCCTGACTGTGTGGACTGTGACCCTCCCTGACTGTGTGGACTGAGAGCCACTCTGACTCTGTGGACTGTTACCCTACCTGACTGTGTGGACTATTACCCTCCCTGACTGTGTGGACTGTTACCCTCCCTGACTGTGTGCACTGTGACTCTCTCTGATAGTGTGGACTGTGACCCTCCCTGACTTTGTGGACTGAGACCATCTCTGACTGTTTGGACTTTGACCCTCTCTGACTGTGTGGACTGTGACCCTCCCTGACTGTGTGGACTGAGAGCCTCTCTGATTGTGTGGACAGTGACCCTCCCTGACTGTGTTAACTGTGATACTTTTTGAGTGTTGACTTTAACCCCACTGAATGTGTGTATTGTAACCTTCTCTGATTGTGTTGACTTTAACCCCCCTGACTGTGTTGCCCGTAATCCTCCCTGACTGTGTTGACTGTTACCCTCCCTAACTGTGGACTGTGACCCATCCTGACTGTGTTGACTGTTACCCTCCCTAACTGTGGACTGTGACCCATCCTGACTGTGTGGACTGTTACCCTCCTGACTGTGCTGACTTTAACCCCCTGCATGTGTGAACTGTGACCCTTTCCACTGTATGGAATGTTACCCTCTCTGATTGCGTGGACTGTGACCCTCTCTGACAGTTTGGACTAAAAATCTTCCTGACTGTGGACTATAACCCTCCCTGACTGTGGACTATAACCCTCCCTGACTCTTTGGACTGTTACCCTCCCTAACTGGACTGTAACCCACCCTGACTGTGTGGAGTGTGACCCTCCCTGACAGTGTTGACTTTTACCCCCTGAATGTGGACTGTTACCCACCCCGACTATGTTGACTCTATCCCCCTAAATGTGTGTACTATGACCCTCCCTGACTGTGTGGACTGTTACCCTCCCTGACTGTGTGGACTGTTACCCTCGCTGACTGAGTGGACTGTGGCCCTCCCTGACTGTAGACTGTGGCCCTCTCTGACAGTGTGGACTGCGACCCTCCCTGACTGTAGACTGTGGTCTACATTTAGACTGTGATCTACACTGACTTTGTGGACTGCGACCCTTCCCTTACTGTTTGAACTGTAACTCTCCCTGGATGTGTGGACTGTGGCCCTCCCTGACTGTAGACTGTGGTCTACACTGACTGTGTGAACTGCGACCCTCCCTTACTGTTTGAACTGTAACCCTCTCTGGAAGTGTGGACTGTGACCCTCTCTGAATTTGTGGACTGTGACCCTATGACCTTCCATGACTGTGTTGTATGTGACCTTCCCTGAATGTAGACTGTGCCTATCCGTGACTGTGTTGTATGTGACCTTCCCTTCCTCAGTACCTGGTCCCTGTCTCTCCTATGGGTTTGGGACTATGTTCCTCATTGATTGTCCCTTCCTGACTATAACGGGACTGAGTCCCCCCCAGACTGCCTGGTACATGTTCCTTTCTAACTAACGAGACTTGGTCCCTCTCTGGATGACTGCTTTGTGCCCCTTCCTGATAGCAGTATCGCGGCCGCCTGTACCCGCTGAGGAGTTGCCCTTATGTATACGGGTAATAACAGTAGATTCATCAGCTCTGCGTGTATACAGCTTGCGTGATAGAGTTGTTTTAATATCAGAAACTGAGAACAAAGTATAGTAGTTTTTATACTAACTGCCCAGGTAGGCAGGACCGCCAGCACGCCACGTTTCACTGATGGAGCGGATATCAATACTGACTGCTGCTGCTAAAGACTACGCAGTCACCAGAAGGTACTAGTTCTGAGTGGTAACTCGCTGAATTTCTACCCTTGATCATCATGAAAATATATAATATAACCTTTGTTCTCTTGAGATAATTATAATTTTCTGTTCTCAGTTAAAACTTTATCAAATTATGCGGAAGAGCTCTGAGGATGTGTTATGTTTTTTATTCCAAAACAACAAGTATACGATACATGTAAGTGTACGCCATATCTAGCTTGAGACAAGACTTGATTATATGATCAGCGAGGATTCCGGTGAACTGAACAAATCTGTTGTCACAAACAGAGAGAACAATAGCATATGCCAATATTCTAAGAATATTGTGGCTTTTATCACGACAGTTAATAAATAATCTGGCCTATTTGGAATTGGAAACATTCAACTGGGCTCTTCCAATAAACCTGCTCTAAGCATACAATTTATATACAAATATAAGGACAATCTGTACGTGTAAAAGGGGTGTCACCCGCCATAAACATACAGAATATTATATAGCAGATACTACTGTTGTCATAATCATATACAGCAGATAGTACTAGTGTCATAATTATATACAACATATATAGTACTAGTGTCATAATTATATACAACATATATAGTACTAGTGTCATAATTATATACAACATATATAGTACTAGTGTCATAATTATATACAACATATATAGTACTAGTGTCATAATTATATACAACATATATAGTACTAGTGTCATAATTATATACAACATATATAGTACTAGTGTCATAATTATATACAACATATATAGTACTAGTGTCATAATTATATACAACATATATAGTACTAGTGTCATAATTATATACAACATATATAGTACTAGTGTCATAATTATATACAACATATATAGTACTAGTGTCATAATTATATACAACATATATAGTACTAGTGTCATAATTATATACAACATATATAGTACTAGTGTCATAATTATATACAACATATATAGTACTAGTGTCATAATTATATACAACATATATAGTACTAGTGTCATAATTATATACAACATATATAGTACTAGTGTCATAATTATATACAACATATATAGTACTAGTGTCATAATTATATACAACATATATAGTACTAGTGTCATAATTATATACAACATATATAGTACTAGTGTCATAATTATATACAACATATATAGTACTAGTGTCATAATTATATACAACATATATAGTACTAGTGTCATAATTATATACAACATATATAGTACTAGTGTCATAATTATATACAACATATATAGTACTAGTGTCATAATTATATACAACATATATAGTACTAGTGTCATAATTATATACAACATATATAGTACTAGTGTCATAATTATATACAACATATATAGTACTAGTGTCATAATTATATACAACATATATAGTACTAGTGTCATAATTATATACAACATATATAGTACTAGTGTCATAATTATATACAACATATATAGTACTAGTGTCATAATTATATACAACATATATAGTACTAGTGTCATAATTATATACAACATATATAGTACTAGTGTCATAATTATATACAACATATATAGTACTAGTGTCATAATTATATACAACATATATAGTACTAGTGTCATAATTATATACAACATATATAGTACTAGTGTCATAATTATATACAACATATATAGTACTAGTGTCATAATTATATACAACATATATAGTACTAGTGTCATAATTATATACAACATATATAGTACTAGTGTCATAATTATATACAACATATATAGTACTAGTGTCATAATTATATACAACATATATAGTACTAGTGTCATAATTATATACAACATATATA